ACTGTAACTGCGATGTCACAAGGCAGGCATCTCCTTGAGTTTCTTCTGTTGTACATAGCTTTCATGTTACCTGGGGTTTATTGGATAGATGCTGGAAGCTTTAATCTGGGATTGTTTTTACCAACATTAATTGAAGATGGTTGGTGTTAGGAAACTGTTGACCGTGACTCCTAAGAGTTTTCCTTGGTTTGTTTTCTTGTCCCCCTAGTGGGCATGCGGCGCTGGATGAAAAGGTTAATGGACTTTATTATGACTTGGTATTCCAGTTGTCTCTGGACTATGTGTGTCATACAAGGAGTATGGCTAGAGTGGAGAGGCTGAGACACAGGGAAGAGATTCAGAAAAAGACTCAGTACATCATCTGCTATTTAAAGGATGGGCTTCTGATGAAACTGAAATTCGGCCATAGCCAGTTCCCAGCTTTGTAGCTGAAAGCTTTCCCTTTAGTGAATGAAACTCGTATTTCTGGGGCCAAAAGAGTTGTGCGTGTGTGAGAAAATTGCTTTTAGTTGTGTTTGTCAGTAAATTTAGGTCACTGATTAATACAAAGCTTATAAAATATATCTGCAAAATGTACAAATTTATATCTAAAATAGTAATTTAGTGCATTATGCAAATATTTAGTCCATGATATTTTTCAGTTAAAATAACAACATGACAGAAATGTTCATTTTGAATTTTTAAAAATGTTGTTCTTTTGCCATATCATCCCCCCCGAATAAATACCTATAGATGAGTAGGATTTCTAATGGTACTTTGGGTTCTATTGTATTTGGATTTTCATTTTGTTTTGGGTTATGAATATACTAAATTGATTTGAAGGAAAATAGTGAAATATTTGTAAATATATTAGTTTGAAGGAAAGTAGTGAAATATATAATATACATGAAGATACATAAGCATATATGTATAAATATGAGGGTACTTTAAAAGGTTTATGGAAAGATTCATGTTATCCTTTTTGAGGTATCCTCATGTGTATATGTGTGTGTGTACATTCATGTGACAATGTTAAGAAGCTGGACAATTGGATTTAATAGCAGAGTCCTTCTCAAGAAAGGTCAAGTGCCTGTGATCCATGCTGGACAGTGAAAGGAGAACCATAATCTGCAGGGACTTAACAGATTTATCAGGCTTGCTAAACTTATCCAGACATGTGATGTCTGCAAGCATCTATTTTGAATTGTAGTCCTGGATGCAACCAAAAGGAATGCTGCTCAAACTTCTTACGGTGATAAATAAAAATACTGTGACACTTTTCCCAAGGATTTCCCATAAAGAAATAACAGAAAAAAACATGGGGCATCTCTCTTGAAAAAGAATGATCCCTGTGTTGCAAATATCAAGTTTAATAAGCCAAAGCAAATACAATGGGGGCTTTACTACCCGCCCACCCCCAGCTCACACCCACTCCCCCCAAACACACACACAATGTATTTTGCTATTTGTAGTAAAATACACTTTTTAAAAAATGAGAAAGGAGACCACTTAAATGTTCACCCGCACTGACTTTACTAAATTTATACTTCAGTTTGAAAGAGGAACTTGTCCCTAATGGACTATGTGAATAAGCATTTCCATGTCACGATGCCCTTGACATATTGCACACTAACTGCTGTCACTTGGAACTCATTCAGTACTATACAAGATTACTAATCTTGTAATTTATTTTGCTAGTGTAGACAATCCCCCAGAACAGTAATTATTTGCATCCCTTTATGCTTTGGATCTTTTGATTGTATTGTGAGTTTTGAACCAAGAAAATGAATGAATTTTAGTCCTTGACAAATGGACCATTTGCAAATGTTAGTTCTAGAGAAAAAGTTAAGTATACATTTAATATCAAATAAATTTTTAAAATTAAAATATGTTAATTAAATAAAAATATTTTACTTAGAATACTAATTATTAATGTTTAGCAGGCATTTAAATAGTGTCCAACTGTGTGCAAAGCACTGAGTTTAGCGTGGCAGGGGGAGGAAAAATGCAAACGTGGAAATTCACAGTTGCATCTGTTCAAGTAACTTACTATGGAAGAGACCAGCTTGTGTATAAATAATACCAGGGAGTTAAAATAAGGGTGGGAAACACACACTCCAGCCTCTAGAAAAGCCCTGATGATATCATGCGGTTGCTATCAAACCCCCTCCCAAGGCACAAGTCAGCATCAGATCCTACCAAATCTGAATACAGGAAGCTGGTCAGGTGGGAGACGTTGTTGAGAGGACATTCTTACATTAATCATACATATCACCATGACCTTTGTTTTTAGAGCAATCTGTGTACACTCAGCCATGTTAGGCCCTCAACAGGGACTCAATAATTTATTTTTGTTTGTTATTACTTGATAATAATAGAGTTGAGAAATACTACCTGTGTCCCTCCCAAACTGCTGCTCATGCCCTGACCACATTAGGAAAACTGTTTTTAAAACTAACTTGTCTGTCCCTGCCCTTATGCCCTTGACCTCTGCCTCCCCTGCATCCTGCTCCATCATCTGTATTCATCTATAATTTCTCTCCTCTTTCCACTCTGGCTTCTTCCACATGGGTTCCTAACTCTCTGCCTGAAAACATTCTAAGGTTATTCCAAATAATAAACTATGTCAAACAAAACAAAGCAAACAAATCAATTTTTCCTTGAAGTCAGATCATTTTAGACATCTCATTGCATATTTACTTATCTGTATTGCCTCCTTTCTTAAAATAATTAACTACACTTGCTTGCTATACATGTCTTCCTTAGCCTGAACGCATTCTGTTTTCTGTTTCCACAGACCTGATAACCCCTCACTGAGTCGGCAGAGCCTTCTAATTGCCAGAGCACGGGTCCTCTTTTTAGTCCTCATCATACTGCTCTGCATTTGACAAAGTGAACCAGCCGTTCTCAAATTTTAGTATGCAATTTGGAGTACTTGTTAAAAATGCAGATTCCCTGGCCACACCCTCCCCCAAAGTCCTGATTCAATAGGACTGGCTTGGGGTCTAGGAATCTGCATTTATATGAGGCAAGCCAGGTGAATCTGGTGCAGGCAGCCTTGGGATCACGCTTTGACCAACACCTCAAAACTTCCTGAGTTTTGATTTATGTTACACTTTCCTGGTCCCCTTCCTTTCTTTCTATTTTTTCTTAGTCTGTGTTTCCTCCTTCTTTAACCAGCCTTTTACAATTCATTTTTCTTAGTTTACACCCTCTCAGGATGAAATTCATCCATTCACTGGGTGTCAGCTCTATGCCAACGACACTTAAACTGATGTTACAAACTCCTTCCCCTTTGCTGGACCATGGAACTACATTTCTATAGGTCTGTGCCTGGTCATTCAGATTATGATATCCCAGACTTAATGCAGCGTTAATCCCAAGAATTCACTCCTCTTCCTGTGTACTCTGAGGCGACAACCTCCACTTAGTTACCTACCCAGAAAACACATCATTTTCAGCTCCTCCTGCCTCCTATCATGTCAGTTCACAAATTTAGCAATGCAGCCCTCACCTCTCTTTCCACTTTCCCCAAGTGTGGACTTTTGATCTAAGCTGTTTGGATGATTCTCTTCCTGAATTGGCTCACACGATGTCCTCGTTTCAAACTTACATACTCAGAATCAGAATTGATCTTATCATTTCTCGCTAATAAATCTTGGCAAAGTTCCTGTTATCCTGAAAACCGCATACAAACTGATGATCACGTTTTTACAGGATCCTGGTAATCCTCCTCCAGGCCTCCCGTCTTCCTGTCTCTCACCACTCCACCTCTCCCACTTTTCTTCCTCACCCTCTCTAGCCCAGCCTCACCAGTACTAGTGCACTATTTGCCTTCAAAATCTCTGCCTTTCTTCTGTTTTCTAGGCCAGAAATGTTCTGCTTGGCTTTTACTCACCTTTCAAAGTCTAAGCTCCTCAACGGCGAGGTTGAAACTACAGTTATCACTGCATTTCTGTCACCCAGCACCATGTCTGCCTAGCACCGTAAATGTTTGCAGAAGGAATAAAGAAATGAACAAATGGTGAATGAATGAATGAATGAAGTGTTACCTGAATGTGGCCAGACAGAATTGATCACTTCTTATATAACCAGAGACTGGGTTCATTTCTTTATTTCTTCCACCGTGTGTTATATTTCACTGCTATGTGTCCAAATTTCCAGTCAGATAGTACATTTCATAAGAGAAAGAATCAAGTCTTCTTTTATCTTTGTTCTTCTGCATCTTCCACGTAGCATGTCCACATGTTATGTTAGGTAAATGTCAATCTTAAAGAAAGCATTTTTTTCACTCTTCCTGTATAAAAATGGGAAAAGATTTTTTTTTTAAAGCATGCTTTGTAGTGTATACTGTACTAAACTAGGCTCTGAAGGTGGAAGACTGGATAGTCCTATCACCCTCTGTTGCTTGCAACCCAACAGGTCCTCAGTTACCTTTAATGTGATCTGTCACCGATAAAACTTGAATTGCTTGAGTGCAGGTGACATTGCACTGATAGTTTATCTTAAGTGTGTTTCTTTTAATTGAGTTTCTGCCCCAAGAAGGCCAAATACAACCCACCAGGGCTGATGCTGTGTTTGGTCAATATAAGAACTGTAACTTTGTAATCTGTTCAGTGACAAACCGTGAGAAATGTTAAAAACTTTTGTCTCTCAGGTATTCTTCATAGGAGTATAAATTATGTTATTTGTCGGGATATGTTTTGTGACAGCCATGAGGTTTATGTTAAGTGTAATTGTTAATATTTATTGAATATTTCCCATGCACTGGGCACCCTACATTATTCAACTTATTTAAGTCACACAAGCACTCTTGTACTCTATAAAAATCCCCATTTAATTGATGAGGAAACAGACACAGGAAGGTTGTACAACCTGCCCAAAGTCACACAGTCAGTAAGGGGCTGAGCCAGCATGGACCACGGTAATCTGGCTTTAGCCCCAGGCTTTCTTCTGCACCTGAGGGGATGGTGCGTGGGGCCTCTCACTGAAGCTAAATGTTGCACCTGCTCTGCCTACAGGGTAAAGAAACTGAAGGAGACTCTGGTGGCTGTGCAGCAGCTTGACAAGAACATGGGCAGCCTGCGGACTTGGCTTGCTCACATTGAGTCTGAGCTGGCCAAGCCAATAGTCTATGATTCCTGTAACTCAGAAGAAATACAGAGAAAGCTTAATGAGCAGCAGGTAAGACTTGAAATTAATTGAAATGAAATAAGCCTTGGAATGTCTGTCCTCCTGGCCAGCCAGGATAACAGAGTAGGTATGAGGTGGTGACTCAGATGGAGTTTAGGAGGAAGGTAGGCAGGACTGGGGAGAAAGGGAGGCTTTGTCTGGGCAGGTGTTTAGGGAAAATAGGTTCCATGTCACCACAGAGTTGACTCTTAAAAAGATGCTTGTGCCACGACATGGTTGGCGTCATTAGTCCACCCAGAAGCTGCTCTACGATGGTAGGTAAGGTTCTGTTGCAATCGTGTATACAAAACAGTGCTGACAGATCTGTTTATTATTTGTGGGCACGAGCTCACTAGCATAGACTTAGAAAAAGCCCCTTTTTTTCTGGGTAAATTGTTTAGAGAAAGATTACAATGCATACTTAGAATTTTTAGAGTTTAGAAAATTTTGTTTTGCAGGGAGGATAGCATGACCTCCAGACCACACACTGTGATTTCACCTTCACGTGGGTAGCAAAGTCAGCACATCTCACTGGCATACGATGTGCAACCCAACAAAGCAAAAGAGGATGACCCTAAAAAATGCACACAGAGAAACGTTCCCTCCCACTCCCCTTGTTTATTCTTACTGAGTATATCTGACTCCAGCTGACAGCAGTAGATACCATAAACTTTTACATAAGAAGAATTGTTACTCCATGGCTTTAGATTGTTTTTGAAAATTCTCTGCAGGCTCTGGTTCCTTCCATTATATTTAGGCCATTGTAGTCAAGTTGCTTAACTTAAAAATGCTTAAAATGTAAATAGCACCCTATTTTTAAAATCCTATAAAATAGTTTATGTACTTTATTTTATAAACTAAGTCGATGAGAATAGGTATTAAAACACAGTTTTAGGAGTTGGAGTTTTTTAAATATTAAAATTAGCATTGCTTTTAACAAAATTTTGTTTGTGGAACATTTTTCAATTTTTATAAGATTAGAATTTTCTGATGGACACTGATGTTTGAGATTCTAATGATTGAACTGTGGGGATCATGATTGGCTTTCAGGCCCCCAAATTCTTCTGGAAAACACGGTAATGATGTGTACCAGTGATAAGAGCTAAAATGCTAATGGCCAGTACTGTAATTTAGCAAATGTACAAAAATCAAAAAGTTAAATATGGCAAATTGCTCTTGTGCATTTATAGCCTCACCTACTACCCCAATAAAATAATAGTAAAGGGGGGAAAATATCAAAATCCACAATGACAAAGAGAACACAGGAGAAAATGATAGAGCTAACAGACATCCCACAGAATTTTGGAAGATAGAAAGTGAATAGATGGACAGTAATGTCCTTAGCAGAATGGAGGGTGGAGAAGATCCATCCATACCATAGAGTTCCAAGAAGGCTCAGAAAGTGGAGAGAAGGTAAACCCAAAAGTTTGATTGTCTGCAGAGCAGTAAAATGGAAGATTACTTGAAAGTTTGAATAAGGAGTGGTTAGACTGGCAGATCCCCTCTAATCCCAGACAGCGAGGCAACCCTGCTTTATATACTCTGGCAGAAGACCAGAGAATTATTCTCTGGAGAAGGCAGACCAAACAGACCTTGGGTTTGGGTATCTGGACACCACTGAGGCTAGAGTCACTGTATTAAAAATAGGGCGATGAAGTGAATGGCTCTATACCAAATGGCATGACCCCCCACACCACTTCCCCAGCTTAACTCCCACAATATCAGTAGCCAGGCTTGTGCTCCAGCCAGGAGATTGGAGCGCTCCTCTCTGGAGAAACTGACCAGACAAGAGAAAATACTTTCAGATAGTGATGCTTATGGCAACCCAACAAAGGCCAGGTCCCTGCCAGGCTCCCCTGCAGGGACACCTCCTGGTTGGCACATCTTAGAATGCAGATGCAGCTCCCAGGGTGTGGATAGGCAAAAAACCTCCAGCACTTAAGAAAGCCTGTGCCATGAAAGAAAAGACCAAAAAATAAATAAATAAATAAAAAGGAAGAATCAGGGGAAACACATCGTAGAAAGAGGAAGAAAACTTTAAAAAAAAATTTTTAAAAACCTCATAGAAAGGAGAGATTTTGCATTTATTAAAAAAATGCCTTTTTAAAAAAAAATTAAAAAGGAACTTTCAGAATTGAGGGTGTCTCCCATAAATAAAAAGGAAGAATCAGGGGAAACACATCGTAGAAAGAGGAAGAAAACTTTAAAAAAAATTTTTTAAAAACCTCATAGAAAGGAGAGATTTTGCATTTATTAAAAAAATGCCTTTTTTAAAAAAAATTTAAAAGGAACTTTCAGAATTGAGGATGTCTCCCATAATGTAAAATGAGAAAGAAATTATTAAAGTAGTCATGTAAAAAAAAAAAAAAAAAGAAGGCCCAAATGAAAAATATTCACTTCCAGATCATAAGGGCCTGACAAGTGCCCAGGAAAATGTAAAACAAAGCAATACTGTCCGAGGGCACCACATTATGAAACTACAGAACACAAGGGTTAAAGAGAAGATCTTTCGGGCTGGCCCGGTGGTGCACTGCTACAGTGCGCCGCTTGGGAGTGCGGCGGCGCTCCCGCCAGGGGTTCAGATCCCACATACAGACCGGTTCCCGCTCACTGGCTGAGCGAGGTGTGGGCGCAACACCGAGGGCTGCAATCCCGTTGCCAGTCCCGGTCCAGTACAGGCGCGACACTGAGGGTTGCGATCCATTGCCGGACACGAGAAAAAGACAAAAAAAAAAAAAAGAGAGAAGATCTTTCAGGTTTCCAGGGTAGAAAAAAATCCAACTTCTCCAAAAAAATGCTGGAAGCTAGATGGCATTGGCACAATGCCTTTAAAAAGCTGAGAAAATTATTTATAATTTAGAACTTTATATCCTATCATCTATCTATCTATTTATTTATTGATGGCTGACCGACAAGGGGAACCAAACCCTTGACCTTGGTGTTACAAGGTAGCACTCTAACCAACTGAGCTAATTGGCCAGCCTTATCCTACCATTTAATATGTAAAGTTTTTACCTCTTATACACCCATTTTCAGGAAGCTAATGGAAGGTGTGCTACATACACTAAAGACTAAAGGCAGAGGAAAAATAATATTCAACTCAGGAGAAAGAGAAAGGGAATTTACAGGATGAAGGTGAAGGAATGTCCCTGATGACAGCTACACTGCAACCTAGAGAGGTCCTATCTGGACTAGATCTTGGGCTCGGGGTGTTCTAGGAGGAAGGTTTGCAGGGAGCAGGACAGTTGAATTAGCAGGACAGTTGACATTCTCTACTGTAGAATGTCAATAATTCCAAAACTGAAAATATCAAGAAATACCTATATAAACAGGTTAGTTAGAAATATAGAAGTAAATACCAAAAAATGAGAAAATTATTTATAATTTAGAACTTTATATCCTATCATCTATCTATCTATTTATTTATTTATTTATTGGTGGCTGATCGACAAGGGGAACCAAACCCTTGACCTTGGTGTTACAAGGTAGCACTCTAACCAACTGAGCTAATTGGCCAGCCTTATCCTACCATTTAATATGTAAAGTTTTTACCTCTTATACACCCATTTTCAAGAAGCTAATGGAAGGTGTGCTACATACACTAAAGACTAAAGGCAGAGGAAAAATAATATTCAACTCAGGAGAAAGAGAAAGGGAATTTGCAGGATGAAGGTGAAGGAATGTCCCTGATGACAGCTACACTGCAACCTAGAGAGGTCCTATCTGGACTAGATCTTGGGCTCGGGGTGTTCTAGGAGGAAGGTTTGCAGTGAGCAGGACAGTTGAATTAGATTTCCTGATGCACTTAACCACACTGGAAGGAGTTTTATTAGTTTTACAGGAGAGAGAATAGAAGCAAGCAATACAAAGTAGAAAGAGGGGTAGAAGATTGTTAATTCCAGAAAAACAAAAGTTATATGAGAAAAGAAATGTAACCATAGCATATTTTGTTGCTCAAATATGAAAAATATTAGATAACCATAATCATATAAACAGTTATTATTGCTCTAGCCATAAGTTGTGCTATAACAGTTATTGGAGCCTGGTGAGCCATGTAGATTTATTCTTTCTCTACTGTAGAATGTCAATAATTCCAAAACTGAAAATATCAAGAAATACCTATATAAACAAGTTAGTTAGAAATATAGAAGTAAATACCAAAAACACTCCTACAAGAGATGGAGATGGTTGCTTCTGGAGACGAGGAGCCAGAGTGGGAAGAGCAC